TATACTCTGATTAGTTTTAATAGTTCAGACTATAACGTGTCGATTGAATCTATGTTTGAACAGTTCTATTTATCATTTCATTTCAAAGTCAAGTTGCATTAGTTTATAATTTATCCCTGTACTAGTTGATTGGATAGAACACTATGCAAGAGATATGGTTTGTAACCTATATCATTACCCTCACTTTGCTAAATAAAAATATACGATTCCTCCTAGTTTCTTCTTCTCCTTTCCTTCAACAATTTTGATAGTAAGTCAATACTTTCTTTTCAAAGTAAGTTACTATTTTATTTTAAAGTTAATATAAAAACAATAACATACTTAATTTGTTTAAAAATAATAGTCACTCTCTCAATATGTTGCCACAACTTTGTGTACGTTTTGCTAAACTTCAAACTTAGGCTAAATTTCTGGTTTTTTTTTTTCAATCATAAAGTAACTAAATTTTTTAATTATAAGTGTCAAAATGACAATTTATTAAACATATGTTTATAAAACATTATTAAATTTATGGTTGCATTTGTTATTAAGGGGATAGATTTACGAGGATTATGATTGGTGAGGATTGGATTAGAATGACTGTACTAAGGTAGATTATGGTGTAGTGTTAAATATTTGATGCTACACCTTATCAAAAGAACATTTAAGAATTGAAATAAAAAAATTTGTAACACTTATATATGTATGTCAATTACATATAAGGAACAGGGATTTGATTCGATTAACTGGTTTTACTGAGAGGCATTTTCCAATAGTTTATTTAGGAGTGCTCATTGTCTCTGGTCGTCTGACGGCTAGACATTTGGAGACTTTGATTGCCAAAATTCGCACCAAGATAGCAGGTTGAAAATGAGGTTACTTTCTCAAGGGGGTCGTCTTATTTTAATATGTCACGTTTTGTCTTGTATGGCAACACATTTGTTGGTTGTGGTTAATTTTCTAAAGACAGTACTAAATAACTTGATCTCTTTACTATTCACATCCTTTTGGGGTGAGAGTAATGCAAAATAGAAAAAGAAATGTCATGCTTGGTCTAAAGTATGTCTACCATTACAAAGGCTGGACTTGGGATACGTGATTTTGCTGCAGTTTAGTGATCTTTCCATATGAAACTTGCACGGCGTCTTATGACTACTAACAGTTTGTGGTCCAGTTTTGTTCGTGCCAAATACGAAAAGAGTGGACATCTTTTGCTGAATTCTAATGACAGGGGATCCAGCTTGCCTAAATCAATCATAAGGGTACTACCTGAGGTATATGAAAATTCAAAATAGAGGATTAAAGAAGGGTAGGCATCTTTTTCATATGACCGTTGTTAG